TTGCCAAGGCTGGAGTGCAATGGCACGATCTCAGCTCACTGCAACCTTTGCCTGGGTTCAAACGATTCTTCTGCCTCAGCCTTCCAAGTAGCTGGGATTACAGGCATGTGCCACCACACCTGGCTAATTTTGTATTTCTAGTAGAGATGGGGTTTCGCCATGTTGGCCAGGCTGGTCTCGAACTCATGACTTCAAATGGATCTGCCCGCTTTGACCTCCCAAAGTGCTGGGATTACAGGCGTGAGGCACCATACCAGGCTTCATCTTTCTTCTTTTGCGCTTCAGCTTGTACATTTGCTTCTTCCTCCACTTGGCTCTCATGGCACAGAGGTTTCCAAGAAGATGGTGCCAAGGCCGAGAGACTCTTCCAGGCTCGACCAATGCATTCTCCACGAGGAAAAAGGCTGACACCAGCCCATATGGGCCTTTGTACTCATTGGCAAGGGCATCCTTTCCTTCAGACATCTTACTTCCATTTATTGGGAAATTGCCAACGTGCACTGATTTTTGTTAGAATGATAGGCTGCCTTCTGCCAAAGAAATGTCGTAAGAAACATACAATTCTACAAGGTCTTGATGTGGTGCCTTTGTGCAGTGTTTGACATGAACAATTACACCCAGCAACCCTGCCTTGCCTCACATCCTAGATCTGATTCTATCACTACCCCCAACTTTTTTTGTTTTTTGAGACAGAGTCTTGCTCTGTCGCCCAGGCTGGAGTGCAGTGGCGCGATCTCGGCTCACAGCAACCTCTGCCTCCCAGGTTCAAGCAACTCTCATGACTGAACTCAGCCTCCTGAGTAGCTGGTATTACAGACACGCACCACCACGCCCAGCTTTTTTTTTTTTTTTTTGAGACGGAGTCTTGCTCTGTCACTGAGACTGGAGTGCAGCTGTCTCTTATACACATCTAGATGTGTATAAGAGACAGGTGCTGGGATTACAGGCTTGAGCCACCGCGCCCGGCCAGCAATTCTTATATTTGCAGATCTGGCTGAGGATTAGGGAAATCGGTGAATGTAAGTGCTAGCACACAGGCAGAGCTTACTAAGTGTTAACTCTTCCTCTCAGCTGATGAGAGCCTCAAGTGGATACTGCAGTGGCTTGGCACTGATCTTCGGATCTCAGCCCGCCTGTCTAGTTCCCATAAAGCAGCCAGGTTATGTTTCCCAGATGCAAGTCTGATCATAGCATGCATCTCCCATTGCTAGAAGGATCAGGGCTGGATTCCTGGCTGTGGCCTGCCAGGCCCTGTGTGGTCAACCCTCACCTTCTTCACCAGTTTCATCTTGGGCCTCTCTTTCCTGAATCCCCTGGGCTCCAGTCCTTTGAGCTTCTACATTCAAAGGCCATACCATGTCTTCTGCCTGGACCTCTGCTGCTCTGCATCCTCACCTGGGGACTCCCTCAGACCTCAAGGAGACTGGAATTCTCACTGCAAACAAGTCACTTGATCTGCTTATCCCTCCCTCTATCTTGGTTAGCATGAGTCAATTTCAAGGTCTGATTCCTTGGGAACTTGACCTAATCCTCATTTACAGGTGTGGACACTGAGGCCCAGAGCTGTTGAGAACCTTGCTGAAGTCTCCCGTCAGGTGGTCGAGTTCAAACCCACGGCTGACTCCAGACCAGTGGTGCAGGTGGAATGGCCTTAAGCACACGTTGCTGGCCACCACTTCCTCCCTGGGCAGCCTCAGGCCAGGCAGGGGTGTCTGAGGCCAAGGTGCTCTCCTGTCCGGCCTCGTGTCTCAACCTTCATCTTCCCACCCTGTGCTCCAGTCTGTTGGGTCCCAGCTCCAGCTTCTGCGCCGATCACAGGCTCTGTTGGTTTCCCATGGCACCTGCCAAGGCTTCGACCCCGGCAACGTGTGCGTTTGTCTATCTCCCACTTTGACCCTGACCTTCATGAGGACAGAAGCTGAGCATTTTATTTCTACATTCCTGCCTCTAGTCCTGGCTTCTACTAGCTGCTCAGTAAATGCTGAGCGACTGACTGCTTGGCTAACGCATTGGACACAACAATGTTGGTTCTTACGAGTCATTCAGCAAAAAAGTTTTGTTGGTATTTGTTCCCGCATCCCACCTCAGGCACCTGGGCCCAGACCTTTGACCACCAAGGCTCTCCAGGGCCCGGGGGCCCACAGCCTATGACTCCCCTGAGGTCTTGCCCCGGAACTGGAGTCCTGGGTTTCCAAAGTTGGCCGTGTCCAATCTGGGCAACATAGTGAGATCCTGTCTCTATGAAAAATGAAAAATTAGCCAGGCATGGTGGCATGCACCTGTGGTCTCAGCTACTCGGGAGGCTAGGTTGGAGGATCGTTTGAGCTCAGGAGTTTAAGGTTATGGGGAGCTATGATCGTACCACTGCACTCCATCCTGGGTGACACAGCAAGACCTTGTCTCAAGACAAAACAAAAACAAAAACAAAAAAACAGTCTGCTATGGGCCAATATTTCCATGTGCCCATCCATGCCTGAGAAAGAACGGTGACATTTTACATATTTATTTTTTGAGACAGAGTTTTGCTCTTGTTGCCAGGCTGGAGTGCGGTGGCACGATCTCGGCTCACTGCAACCTCCACCTTCTGGGTTCAACCGATTCTCCTGCTTCCCGAGTAGCCTCCTAAGCCTCTCAGCCTCCCGAGTAGCTGGGGTTATAGGCACGCGCCACCATGCCCAGCTAATTTTTGTTTTTTTAGTAGAGACGGGATTTCACCATGTTAGCCAGGCTGGTCTCGAACTCCTGACCTCAGGTGATCCTTCCGCCTTGGCCTCCCAAAGTGCTGGGATTACAGGCATGCACCGCCACGCCCAGCTAATTTTTGTATTTTTAATACAGACGGGGTTCCTCCATGTTGGTCAAGCTGGTCTTGAACTCCTGACCTCAGGTGATCCGCCCGCCTCGGCCTCCCAAAGTGGGGGGATTATAGGCGTGAGCCACCGCACCCGGCTTCCAATGACATTTTATAATTAGCCACCCCTCACCTCATGTGTCAGGCCTCACATGCCCTCTCTGATTAATCTTCAACAGCCTGATGAGCTAGTCCTTTCCTCACCATCTCCAAAGCACAGGTGGAGGGACCAAGGCTCACGAAGCCCAACGCACTTGCCCTGCACTCACCACCAACCCACAGGCCCCTTTCAAATGAGACAGCCCTGACCACCCTGAACCAGGTGAAATGGTCCATCTCTCCTGTCTTTCCACAAAACATTCATTCATTCAACAATTAAATCCATTCACTACTACATGTGAGTCACTGTTCCGGGTAAACGAGTGCTCCCCTCTCTCCCTCCAGCCATGATCACCATTAAGAGGCCGATGCCATCATCCAGATGTGAGATCCGGGGGGTTACGGTTAAACCTGCAATATCTGGCCGGGCACGGTAGCTCACACCTGTAATCCCAGCATTTTGGAAAGCCAAGGCGGGCAGATCACGAGGTCAAGAGACCGAGACTACCCTGATCAACATGGTGAAACCCCGTCTCTACTAAAAATACAAAAATCAGCCAGGCATGGTGGTGGGCGCCTGTAGTCCCAGGTACTCAGGAGGCTGAGGCAGGAGAATCACTTGAACCCAGGAGGCAGAGGTTGCAGTGAGCCAAGATCGCGCCACTGTACTCCAACCTGGTGTCAGAGCGAAACTCCGTCTCAAAACAAACAAACAAGCAAATACACACACACACCCCCAGCAATCTCAATCCAAGAGATCCCGGAATGCCTCTTGCCCTGTGAAACCTGGCAGAGCCCAGAGGTTTGGGTCAGTGCCCCTGCCGTGGGTCCCTGGCCTACAAAGGCACCATGGGTACGTACATGCAGGTGCTAGATGCCACCTCACTGCCCATGCTCCATTGCCATGGGAGCACTGGGGGCAGGGAGAGGCCTTGTCAGTCGAAGTAAAGATAAGACCCTAAAGAGCAAGTAGATCTAGGGGGGCTGATCTGAAGGGGAGACCCCTCCAAACGACCTCCCTCTGTCCTCCCTCCGAAAAATAACATTCCATAGAACGAGAAAGTCAGGAGAGATAGGAAGAGGTCACCTGGTATGCCAGGTGGAAATGTCACCAATTTATTTGGGTCACAAAATTCTTTAAAAAGCAAATTAGGGCAGCCTGAAAGAGTGGCAAGAACACACGTTTCAGAGTAAGACAGACTTGGCTTCCACCGAAAGCTTCTTTCCTTCTTAGCTCAGTGTCTTAGAAAAATTACTATGCCTCTCTCCATCTTGGCTTTCTTCTCTTTCTTTTTGTTTTTGTTTTTTTTTTTTTTGAGATGGAGTCTTGATCTGTCACCCAGGCTGGAGTACAGTAGTGTGATCTCGGCTCATTGCAACCTCTGCCTCCTGGGCTCAAGCAATTCTCCTGCCTCAGCCTCCTGAGTAACTGGAATTACAGGCGCTATGCCACCACACCCGGCTAATTTTTGTATTTTTAGTAGAGATGGGGGCTTCACCATGTTGGTCAGGCTGGTCTCGAACTCCTGACGTCAAGTGATCCGCTTGCCTCAGCCTCCCAAAGTGCTGGGATTACAGGCATGAGCCACTGTGCCCCGCCCTGCAACAGACTTTTGATTGGTCTCCCTGCCTCAGCCCTGGTTCCATTCCATTATTCTCAAGCCAGACGGATCCTGTTGAAAGGGAAGTCAGATCCCAGCACTTCTTGGCTCCGAACCCTGCTGTGGGTCCTTTGCACCCACCATATCCCTCCCAGTTCTGATAAGGGCCTCTTTCCCAGCTCTCGCTCACCTGGCTGCGAAAGCACTGGCCTTCGTCCTGCTGCTCCTAGACCACATTGAGCTTAAGGGCATACCTGGGGGCAGGCCTGAAATGCTCTTCCCTGCCATGTTCTTCTCCTGGTTCTTGTCCTTTTGATAGCCTGACTATTCTGTAATTGCCCACCCCTTTCCTGGTAGATATTATCTTTTAATCCTCACCACAGCCCCAAGGCTGGGAGAGGTTAGGAAACTTGGCAGAGGGCAGCTGTCCCTAAGTGGTGGAACTGGAACTAGGAGCTAGCAGTGGCCCCTGTGGCCTCGGACTCCAAAGCCCCAGGCCTTGGGCTTGGCTGAGCCAGGTACGGAGAGAGGCACTTGGGAGAGGGGACTTCCACAGAGAAACCACCCGGGTCCTCAAATCTAGTGAGAGACAGAGAAGCAAATGGATAAATTACAGTGCCTGGCAAATGGTAGGCGCCAATAAATACGTTTTGTTGTTGAACAGATTATGAGCCTTAAGATGTGCAGACATTTCCGTGGGGCCTAAAGAAGACACATGAGTGTATTAGAGGGAGCGAGGAAGGGGCTGGGAGAGATTTCCCAGTGAAGGGGGACATTTGAAGTACACTTTGAAGGAAGGGTAGGAGTTTGCTAGAAGCCACGCGGCCTGGGGAGTAGGAACAGCATGGAGGAAAGAAGTCGAAAAGAATTCGATATGAGAAAATAGGTTTGGAGGAGCTCTGAATATTAGTGTTAGAATTCCCTCAGGTACCCCAGGACCCCAGCCAGAGATCAGCAGACGGTACAGGAGGCTGGCCAGGCACCCCGGACAAGCTAAGGGGCTGCCAGCAGGTGAGGGGCCTAGCGGGTGCGGCAGCCTCGTTGGACAGCGAGGGTACCTCCTGCCCTCTAACCTTCTCCCAGCATCGGGACCACCCCGGTACCCACAGCCGGACCCGGACACCGGAATCCTCTAGGGGCAGGGCGCGAGTGGCCTCTGCAGGCCCGTCCCTTGGTGAGGTCACACACGCAGGCGGGGCTCAGGATTGGGGGGCGGGATCATGCGCAGGGGGCGGGGCCCGAGAGAGAGCTTAGAGGAGACCGGAAGTCCCTCCGCCTCCGCCCGCCCTCGTGCTCCCTTCAGCCCCTTCGTAGCTCAGTGCGCAAGGTCGTGTCCCGGAAGTGAAGGGGCCATGTTGATGGGTGACCCGGGGAGAGGTACCCGGCCGGAGGCGAGTCCTGCGGAGTGGTAGCGCGCGCGGCCTACGGGTGAGTGAGGGGAGGAATGAGGACCGGCGGCTGCTGGGTGGCCGGGAGGTTGCGGCGCCTCCTCTCAGGCTGCTGCCGGCGCCTCGCATGCGGCCCGGACCCAGGATACCGGCCTGCAGCCGGTGGTCTCGCCCCATCCCGCCCTGGGCTTTCCCCTGGGAGGCCCCTTGGCGGCCCCGCCCCGCCCCAACCTCGGAGACTTCCCGGGTCCCGGAGCAGGCCTGCCCTGGCCTCTGGGCCTCCGCACCCCGGCCTGGCCCCCAGGGTTGGGGAAGTGCAGACTGGCTGGGGCTCAGCCGCCCACTCTCCCAGCGACCTTGTAGTTACAGCCCTCGCCGTGACAGTCGCCTTTTGCCTCATCAAACACTTCTGTTGATTTTCTACATCGGAAGGCCGAGGGAGCTCTTAAACAGTTGAGGAAAAATGGACAGGGATGGTGGCTTGCTCAGGCTTGCGCAGGAAGTTAGCAAGGCCGGAGGCTAAGGGTTAGCGGACTTTGGGCCCGAAGTCCAGTCTTTTTTTCCAGCCAAATACTTCCCCCACTCGGTGTCATTTCTTTATTTCTGAAACGGAGGTGATCATTTTTTCCACATAAGGACGTTGTGAAATTCTCTCCTTCGTTAAACATAATTTTGAGCGCCTTGTATGTGCCAAGCTCTGTGCTAGGAAAGTTCGTGGAGCACCCGGAAGTGCTGTACGCATGGTCCGGCTCCAGCAAAGGGTAACTCATTCCAGAGGCAGGCAGAGTGGGGGTCAGGAGTGCAGCCCTCCCCTTGACAGTTGTGGGCCCGCGGGCAAGTTACTTCCCTCTGGGAGATTGTTTCCTCCACTTAAAATGGGGTAATGTTGACCCTAGGGTAGCTGACAGAATGAGTTGTTACGTGAGACATGCTTCAAACATTGCACATTGTGTCTAGTGCAATGTAGTGCAATAAGCATTTACTGTTACTAAGAACCC